AGCACAGGCTCCAGACGCGCAGGCTTAGCGGCCATGGCTCACGGGCCCAGCCGCTCCGCGGCATGTGGGATCTTCCCGGACCAGGGCATGAACCCGCGTCCCCTGCATCGGCAGGCGGACTCTCAACCACTGCGCCACCAGGGAAACCCAAATTTCTGTTGTTTAAATCATCTAGTTTGTTGTTCTTTGTTATGAGCACCCTAGCTAACTCAGAGACCAGCACATGGAAAGCTCTCTGTACAAAGTAGCCATCCGTTCAGTTATTAGGAGACGGCTCCACCGAGGGTTTTTATTTTTAATTGTAGTGAAACCCACACAATACAAATTTTACCATTTTAACCATTTTAAGTGTACAGTTCAGAGGTGCTAAGTACATTCACATTGTTGTGCAATCATCCCCAGCCTCCATCTCCAGAACTTTCTCACCTTCCTGAACAGAAACTCTGTCTCCATTAAACACTAACTCCCATCCCCCTCCCCCAGCCCCTGACCCCCCCATCCCACTTTCTGTCCCTATGGATTTGACTCCTCTAGGGACCTCTTATGAGTGGAATGACACAGCATTTTGTGATTGGCTTATTTCACTCAGCATAATGTCCTCAAGGTCCATCCACGTAGCATGTGTCAAATTTCTTTCCTTTTTCAACTTGAATAATATTCTATTGTCTATATATATCACATTTTGTTTATCCATTCACCGATTGATGGACCCTCTGGTTGCTTCCACCTCTTGGCTATTGTGAATAAATAGTGCTGCTGTGAACATGGTTGTAGAAATATCTCTTTGAGTTCCTGCTTCCAATTTGTTCAGGTCGATACCCAGAAGTGGGATAGCTGTATCTTACTCTTAATTTTTTTGAGGAGTCTCCGTACTTTTTTCCATAGTGGCTGTATCAATTTATATTTCCACCAACGGTGCACAATGATGCCCTTTGCACCACATCCTTGCCAATGTTTGTTATCTCTTGTCTTTTTGATGATAGCCATTCTGACAGGTGTGAGGGGGATATCTCACTGTGGTTTTTTTTTCTTCTTCTAGTTTTCTTGAGATATAACTGACATACAGCACTACAAAAATACTACATAGTTATGACTATATTCTCCACACTGTATTTCATAACCATGACTCACTTATTTTGCAACTGGAAATTTTTGTACCTCTTAATCTCCCTCACCAAATTTCTTTCCTTCCACCCCTTTACTCCCCTCTGGCAACCACCTGTTTGCTTTCTGTACCTACAACTCTATGTTCTGTTCTGTTTGTTTATTTGTTTTGTTTTTTAGGTTCCACATGTAAGTGAAATCACACAGTATTTGCCTTTCTCTGTCTGACTTATTTCACTTAGCATAATACCCTCTAGATCTATCCATGTTATCTCAAATGGTAAGGTTTGATTCTTTTTTTTATGGCTGAGTAATACTCCGTCTATCTATCTGTCTATCTATCTATCTATCATCTATCTATCACATCTTCTTTATCCATTTATCTATTTTTGGGCACTTAGGTTGTTTCTATATCTTGGCTGTTGTAAATAATGCTGCAATGAACAGATGGGTGCATATATCTTTTCTTATTAGTGTTTTTAAATCTTTGGATAAATACCCAGGAGAGGAATTGCTGGATCATATGGTAGTCCTATTTTTAATTTTTTGAGGAATCTCCATATTGTTTTCCATAGCAGCTTCACCAATTTACTTTCCCACCAACAGTGTACTAGGGTTTCATTTCTCCACATCATCACCGACACTTGTTATTTGTTGTCTTTTTGATAATAGCCATCTGACAGGTGTGATCATTGTGGTTTTGATTTGTATTTTCCTGAGGATTAGTGATGTTGAGCACCTTTTCATGTACCTGTTGGCCATTTGTATGTCTTCTTTGGAAAAATGTCTCTTCAGTCTCTACCCATTTTTAAAATTGGATTCTTTTTTTCTTTTTCTTTCTTTTTTTTTTTTTTTTTTGCTGTTGAGTTGTATGAGTTCTTTATACATTTTCTGTATCAATCCATTGTCAGATATATGGTTTGAAAATATGTTCTCCCATTCCCTAGGATGTCTTTCCATTTTGTTGATGGTTTCTTTTGCTGTGCAGAAGCTTTACAGTTTGATATAGTCCCACTTGTTTATTTTTGCTTATGTTGTCTTTGCTTTTGATGTCAAATCCAAAAAATCATTGCCAAGACCAATGTTAAGGAATTTATCATTATGTTCAGGTCTTTAATCCATTTTGAGTTTATTTTTGGGTATGGTGTAAGATAGGGATCCAGTTTCATTCTTCCACATGTGACTGTCCAGCTTTCCCAGCACTGTTTATTGAAGAGGCTATCCTTTCCCCATTGTATATTCTTAGGTACTTTTTCATAAGTTAATTGATCATATATGCATATATTTATTTCTGGTCTCTCTATGTGTCTGTCTTTATGCCAACACTATGCTGTTTTGACTACTATAACTTTGTAATATAGTTTGGAATCAGGAACTATGGTGCCTGCAGCTTTGTTTTCTTTCCTAAGATTGCTTTGGCTAATTGGGGTCTTTTGTGGCTCCATACAATTTTGGGATTATTTTTCTACTTCTGTGAAAAGTGCCATTGAAATTTTGATAGGGATTGCATTGAACCTAAAGATTGCTTTGAGTAATGTAGACATTTTGACAATATTAATTCTTCCAATCCACGACCATGATATATCTTTCCATCTGTTTGTGTCCTCTTCAATTTCATCAATGTCTTGTAGTTTTCAGTGCACTGATCTTTCACCTCTTAGATTAAATTTTTGAATTATAAATGGGATTGTTTCCTTAATTTCTCTTTCTGATAGTTCACTGTTAATGCATAGAAATGGAACTGATTTTTGTATATTGATTTTGTATCTTGCAACTTTACTGAATTTATTAATTCTAACAGTTTTTTCTGTGGGATATTTAGGGATTTCTATATATAAAATCACATCATCTACAAAGAGAGACAGTTTTTCTTCTCTCTTCCTGATTTGGATGCTTTATTTCTTTTTCTGCCTAATTGCTCTGGCTAGGACCTCCAGTACTATGTTGAATAAAAATGGTGAGAGTGGGCATCCTTGTCTTGTTCCTGATCTTACAAGAAAAGCTTTCAGCTTTTCACCATTGAATGTGATGTTAGCTGTGCCCTTGTCATATATGGCCTTTTTTATCTTGAGGTACCTTCTCTCTATAGGCAGTTTGTTGAAACTTTTATCATGAATGAATGTTGAATTTTGTGAAACGATTTTCCTGCATCTATTGAGATGATCGTATGGTTTTTATCCTTCATTTTGTTAATGTGGTGTAGTACACTGATTATTTGCATATGTTGAACCATTCTTGCATCCCTGGAATAAATCCCACTTGATCATGGTGTATGATCCTTTAAGTGTATTGTTGAATTTGGTTTGCTAATATTTTGTTCCTTCTTAACCCAAAGGAAAACCTAGATGGCAGTTTTAATAATTCAAGATGATTAAATCTTGAATAATCAAAGTCAGGATAAGATCCTAGGATCAGACATTCATTGGTTAGGTAGTTGCCATGGTGATGGGAGGAGAGTAGGGAAATGATTGATACCTTTTACCCCATTAAGTTGCATAAGCTGATGACAATTTCCAAAGAACTTCCAGCTACAAGGTCTCTGCCTCCTACTGGGGAAGAGAAGTTACTCTAAGATCTCCGAGGATTTTGTGATCAGGAAAGGGGTGGGTGTGAGGTTGGTTTCTGGTGGCTATAGCAGGGGGAATAAAGGAGTGATTGTTTTGAAGGAGAGAAGAAGGAAGAAAACAAATAAAAGCGGGAAGGAAGAGGTTGGGAGAAGTTTGGCAATATCTGAGAAACCAGAGCTCTGTAAGCCCAGGTGGTTTTTTAAAAATTAAGTTAATTGGGCTTCCCTGGTGGCGCAGTGGTTGAGAGTCCACTTGCCGATGCCGGGGACACGGGTTCGTAACCCGGTCCGGGAAGATCCCACATGCCGCGGAGCGGCTAGGCCCGTGAGCCATGGCCACTGAGCCTGCGCGTCCGAAGCCTGTGCTCCGCAACGGGAGAGGCCACAATAGTGAGAGGCCCACGTACCGCAAAAAAAAAAAAAAAAAAATTAAATTAATTAAGTAACTTATTTTGCAGGGAGGTGTTGGGGAGGGGGCACTGTGAAAATGCCAGGACAGAGATGAGGTCTCAGCCTGGTACTTCAAGCCAGGTAAAGTGAGAACAATTTTGAGCAGTGTGGAATTTTGGAGAGTGTTGGATCAGGAAATCCACAAGCCATTAAAGAAGAAACAGATATTTACATCCAAGGACCGGTAAAAATAAAAAGAATGCACAGCAAAAAAAAAAACCCATATAAAAATCATAGGCAACGTCAAAAGTGAAAAGACAAACTGAGAAGATATTTGCAACTCATGTTACAGATAAAGGGCTAAATTCCTCAACATATAAAAACTTTGTACAAAACAGAAAGCAAAAGGTTGATGACTCAGTTAAGAAAAACTGGGCAAGGCGTGGACACATTGCAAAACTATTTGGCGGTTTCTCAAAAAAATATATATATATTTCATATTCTTTTCCATTATGGCTTATTACCAGATATTGAATACAGTTATGTGAATGCATTAATGCCACTTTAACAGGGTTAATTTTATTTTATGTGAATTTCACCTCAATTAAAAAAAAAGAGTGTCTACACATGATTCTACAGAAAAGAAAATACAGATGATTCAAATGACACTGAAGTATGGGGGCGGGGAATAGGCTCCCCTTTTATTAGAAATAAGACAAATGAAAAGCTTCTTTTCACATCCCACAGAGCAGCCATGGTCACATGGTGCAGCTTAAAAATCTAAATTGGTTCAACACCTGTAGAGGCCAATTTATTAATAAATATCAAAATTATAAACACACCCTCTTGGACCCAGCCATTCCACTTCTAGGAATTTATCCTACAGATATAGGTGCAAAATGACCTAGGTATTGTAGAAGAAAAAGAAAGGTATCAGACGTGGAAAGGAAGAAATAAAATTGTTTTTATTTTTAGAAGAGTTTTTAAAAAATACTTTAACCAAAAACTGTTGGATCTAATAAACAGATTCTGTAAAGTGAAACAAAGAAACAAACAGAAAAACAGCACACACACACCCCAAATCAATATAGAAACATCAATCACGTTTCTGTGCATTAACAATGCAATCTCACAGTGGTTCAGTGGTTAGGACTCTGCCCTTCAGGTGGGTGTGGGTTCATTCCCTGCTTGGGGAACTAAGATCCCACATGCCACATGATGCGACCAAAAAAAGAAAAAATAATAAAAAAGTTAAAAAAAAAAGCCAATGCATTCTCAGGAAGAGAAATACAACCTTTGGATACAATACAATAATAAAATAATAAAATACTTACGAATAAATTGACGATAAAACAAAGAAAAAACTTCTCAACAAATCTGGGCCAGGAAGTGCAATGGTGCAAGTCAAGGGCACACCCACTGAATCCCAAAAAAAGTCTCATCAGCGTTTCTGGAGGGCAGCAGAGGCGGAGTAAGGTTAGTGCAGAGAATGTCCCCGTGGGCTAAGAAGGTAAGGCGCTGGGAGGCGACAGAGCAGCTTTGGTGAAAGTTGAGGCGTAGCAGGCTGATGCTGTGGGCTGTGGGGAAGCAGATGGCCACGCTCAGGGTGGCGCTAAGGGGCTTGGCGGTCCACGTAGAGGAAGAGCAGTTGGCTAAGGTCACCTGGATGTGCAGCCTATAAATGCCATCACGTTGGATACGCAGCTGCCCGTTGTCCAGCTCTGGCCCATGCACGAAGGAGCGGCCCAGGGCTGGGCTTCCCTGCCAGCGCAGCCTGGGGTCCTGCCGCGATCCTGAGAGGGTTGTGGGAGAAGGGATGGAAGGATGGAGGTTTAGGGAAACTGAGTGCTATAGAGGCAATGCCCCAAACTCCCATGTTGAAACCTAACCCCCAAGGGGATGGAATTAGAAGGTGGGCCATTGGGAAGTGATTAGATCATGAAGGTGGAGCCCTTATAAAAGAGACCCCATATCCACTGATGGATGAATGGAGAAAGAAGATGTGATATCTATATATATCTGTATATACACATACACACACATATATGTATACATGTACATATGTACGGATTGTGCGTGTATATATATACACACACCATACACACATATATATAAAATGGATAAAGATGTTTATATATATTATTATATATATATATGTGATATTATACATATATATATATAATTCAACCATAAAAAAAGAAGGAAATTCGGCCACTTGTGACAACATGGGTGGACCTAGGGGTAAGTCAGACAAAGACAAATACTGTATGACTTCCCTTATACGTGCAATCTAAAAGGAAACAAAACCCAAACTCATAGATACCGAGAACAGACTGCTGGTTGCCACAGGTGGGAGCCGGGGTGGGCAAAATAGGTGAAGGTGGTCGAAAGGTAAAACTTATAAAATAAGTTATAAACTAAGTCCTGGCGGTGTCATGTGCAGCATGGTGACTAGAGTTAATGACACTGTGTTGTATATTTGAAATTTGCTAAGAGAGAAGATTTTACAAGTTCCCATGGCAAGAAAAAAAATTGTAACTATGTTAGCTAGACACTGTGGCGATCGTTTTGTAATATATACAAATAGAGAATCATGTTGTACACCGGAAACTAATACAACGTTGTATGTCAACTATATCTCAATTCAAAAAGAGAAAGAGTGACTTCCCTGGCGGGTTCAGTGGTTAAGATTCCGTGCTTCCAATGCAGGCGTACGGGTTCCATCCGTGGCTGGGGAACTAAGATCCCGCATGCCCCGCGGGGCCGGGTGGGGTGATGTGGGGGTGGCCAAAGAATAGAAAAAAAAAAAAAAAAGAAAGGGGGGTGGGGAGAGAAAGAGAAGAGCTCAGAGAGCTCTCTCCCTCCCTTTCAGCCACGTGAAGACCCAGCAAAAAGATGAGAAGATGGCTGGCTGGGGACTTCCCTGGTGGTCCAGTGGTTAAGACTCCATGTTCCCAATGCATGGGGCGTGGGTTCCATCCCTAAGTCGGGGGAGCTAAAATCCCACAGGCCTCGCAGCTAAAGAACAGAAGCAAGATTGTGAAAAATTCAATAAAGACGTTAAAAATGGTCCACATCAAAAAAAAAAAAAAAAAACTTAAAAAAGAAAAAAAGAAGATGGCTGGCTGCTTATGAACCAGGAAGCGGGCTCTCGCCAGACACCAGATCTGCCGGTGCCTTGGACTTCACAGCCCCCAGAACCATGAGAAAGAAATGTCTTGTTCATAAGCCATCTGGTCTGTTATTCTGTCATAGCAGCCGGAGCAGAAAGCACCCAGAGAAAAAAGACGAAGATTTCCCTCCATTACAAAATGGAATGAACACACACCCAGCCCTCTGGGGATGAGTCGGGGGGTGGGGGGGAGAGGCCCAAAGAGGAAGGGGGTTAGAGAGAGGCTGGGAGAGTACTGCCAAATGCACCCGCCCTCGCGTTCCTTCACGTCCTTGCTCCAAAGCCCCCTTCTCAGGGATGCCTTCCCCGATGACCGCATCTTCAAGGGCAAACCCAACGCTGGCCTGCCCGATCCCCCTCCCTTACTTAATATTCCTCCCAGAAGTACCAGATGCGTGTTTTACTCTCTTGCCGTGCTGCATATTTTCCTTGTTTACTTATTTATTTTCTGATCCCCTTGGTAGAAGGGCAACACCGACAGGGCAGGGATTTCTGTCGGTTCTGTGGGCTCTCGGAACACCCAGAACAGGGCTTGCCTCACAGTAGCCGCTTAATTAGTGTTTGTGGCCTCAGTGAGGGCACGTTAGTGATGGTTATTAGCTTGGTTTAATTGATTTGGGATCTCCCAAGGGAGAAAACAAAAGGCTGAGCCAGGAAGCAGGTGCTCAACAGAACGCCGCCATATCTCCCTCTCTTTGTTTCTTTTTCTCATCCTTTGTCAATTTCTCTCTCTCTCTCTCTCTCCCTCCCCCACCCTCCTTCTTTTCTCTTTCTCCAACACACATATGCATCTGGTTTTACCTGTGCGATTCAGCTGCAGCTCCGCTAAGTCCCACTGGAAGAAAAGAAAAGAAAAGAAAAGAGACCAGACGTCTTGAGTGTTCCCGAGGGAAGAGCTCTCTTTTCTCGACCCATCCTTCTATCCACCCATCATCCCACCGGACTGAGTTGGGACCTTTGTGAAGAACTCTTAAAGAGAAAGTAGGTTTGAACTAGCCGTGAGCATGAAGAGAAGACCTTCTGAAGAACTTCTTAGTTTCCAGGATATAACACAGGGCGCCTCGGCACACCTGCCTCTCTCCCCTGCAAAGCTCTCCCACCCCCGTAATGCAGCCCCCAAAGCCAGACCCTGTGGTAGGTGTCCAGGGTTCCTCCTGTCCTTGGAGGTCCCGGAACCGCCCCTTCCCAGCTTTGAGAAGCCCCCAGCAGCCTCTGAGTCAGCCTGCTGGGGGAACACCAAAGACGAGTCATTTTCCAGGCCCCCATACGGTATGTATCTTCCTCCACCCCGGGATCTCCACCCGGGATTTACCTCCTGGTGTCGGCAGAACTGACTATCCAGAGCCGGAGACCCCCGGGGGCAGCCTTGCCCCCGCCTCCCCTCCCTGCTCTGGTCTCTCTCGCTCTGTTCTTTTCCACCAGCTCTTTCTTCCTGGCAGTTGTCTTTTCTATTGTTTGGCCACGCCACGTGCTATGCGGGCTATTAATTCCCCAGACCAGGGATCGAACCCCCCGCCCCACTGCGTTGGAAGCGAGGGGTGTTAACCACTGGACGGTCAGGGAAGCCCCCCTGGCAGATTTTTATTCATCTCATTCTGATCTTTTTGTTTTCTTTTTCTTTTTTGGTCGCGAGTCTGTTAGTCTGCGCTCTAGCTCACCATCCCTCTGCCCTGAGCTGATTCATTCCTCAGTTGCTTACCTGCCCTCGGCGCTGCACCCCCTCCCCAGGGCCCGGCCCCAGCTGGAGGTCCCCATGCTCCTGAGCTTGCAGGAGGCAGATGTACGTCTCTCTCTCATCCTCCCTTCTGGACTTACCCCAGTTGAATCCACCTGCTGCTTTCGGGTGAGGCGCACACTGCAGACGAGGCAGCCTATCACCATGCCAAGGAGAATCAGCAACAAAGCCACCCTCCGGATGGACACCCAGGGCCGGTGGGGCACCTGGCAGCCCGAGGCTTCTTCTGCTCTCATGATCCTCTGCAGGCACTTCATCAGCTGTGTGGCGGGGTGGAGGGTGTGTAGAGGCAGGAAGAGGGAAGGAACCTCAGCTCTCATGCAGCTATGGGGCCCTCTGCCTGCCTGAACCTGCCAGGGACCAACCATGCCCCACCCTGGGGATGTCCGTCAAAGGGAGGGACCAGACTCAGTTCTACAGTGCAGGGAATTCCCCTCCAGCTTCTGCCGGTCCCCAGTCTGCAGAGTAGGTGGGCCAGGGTGTCCCTCAATTTTTCTATGTAACTTCCCACACTCACCTTCCTGGTACTCATTCAACAAACCTTCATTGAACATCCACTATGGGCCAGATGCTCTGCTGGGCCTCAGGGCTACAGCCACAGCACCCAGGGATGGAGGAGGGGTCCCCCAGTATCCATGTGTTCCTCTCCATCTTCCCAGCCTCCCTGACGCCCCCGTGGTGGGACCACCCCTGATGCGGTCACATGACTGACCTGCCTAATAGGAAGAGAGTAGAAGCGGACCAAGGGTCACTTCCATAGCCTGACCTTGTAAACGTGCCACACTGCCTTTCGATTCTCTTGCCCTGTGGTCTTGGAGGACACCCGTTCTGGATGACTGTAGTGGCTTGAATATGTCGCCCCCCAATTCATGTCCACCCAGAACTTCAACACGTGACCTCATCTGGCAACAGGGTCTTTGAGAAGTAAGGATGAGGGTGGACCCTACATCCCATGATGTGTTCATAGGAAAAGGAGAGGACACGCAGAGACACAGAGGAAAGTTGGAGGTAGACATTGGAGTGACGCAAAATACACCAAAGAACCCCAAGGATTGCCGGCAAACCCCAGAAGCCAGAAAGAGGCAAAGAAGGAATCTCCCCTAAAGCCTTTGAAAGGAGCGCAGCCCTTCGGACACCTTGATTTCAGATCTCTGGCCTCCAGAATGGTGAAAGAGTAAATTTCTGTTGTTTCAAGCCACTAGTGGGTGGTGCTCTGTTACGGCAGCCTCAGGAAACGAGTAACAACGGCGTAGCTGCAAGATGAAGAGACACTACCTGGGCTTTGTAGGGTTGGGACAGTACTTTGTTAGTATCGGTGAATCAAGCCACGCAGCTGTCACAGACCGTATGTGCCAAGTACACGTGGCTGTGGTCTAAGAAGCTTTACTTGTGGACACTGAGACTTGAAAATTTCATTCCAGAGTGAGGAGTTACAGTGGCCTGGTCTGGGCTGGGAGTGGGGTGGCGGAGAGAAGAAGGAGGTGAGTAGGAGGTGGATAGATGTCAGAGCTGGAGCCAGCAGCATTTGCTGGTGTGGGAGGGCAGGTAGAAGAAAGAGGGGAGACAAAAGTGTCCAGAATTCCTGGGGTCCAGGCGATCGTATAGTCCCTGAGACCCCCAACTACAGAAGGAATTTCCTTTATAAACCTGAGGGTTTAGTCAGCAGCACCCTCAAAGGGACATTAAGCTCTCCTGAGCCTGGGGGCGTGATCCTCGGAACTGTCCCCGACCTTCTTTCATACTGTGTGAAACCCCCGCTGGGTTCTAAAGTCTAGCTCTGCTGGCTAACTCCATCTGCAAGACCTTCCAATCCCTGTCTTGTCGTGGTCCCCACTCTGGACCTTTGATGGTTCTTTGCAGCCCACCTGGTGTCCCTTCCCTACCTCCATCTAGCTGAAAGCCATTCACAGTCAAAAAGAATCGCTACCGAGCATGGTTAAGTATGTAGGATCTGGAGTTTCTCAACACACCTGGATTCCAATCTCTGGAATGTCACATTTTAGCCTTTGGGAAACTCACACCCCCATCAGCTTAAGTTCAACGTTTCCATCTATAAAATGGGCTGCGAAATACAACAAACTGGTGAATATAACATAAAAAAAGCAGAGTCACAGATAGAACAAACTGGTGGTTACCAGTGTGTGTGCGGACAATATAGGAGTAGCGGAGTGAGAGGTTCAAACTACCAGCTGTAAGACAGATTCCACCATGTACCGTTCAACACGGGGAATGTAGCTGATACTCTGTAATAACTGCAAATAGAAAGCAACCTTTACAAATTGTATTAAAATAAAAAATTTAAATAATAATAAAATGGGCTGTGATGAGATTTTAAGGAGAGACACATGCGAGGCCCTTAGCATAGCGCAGGCACACAGCAAGTGGTCAATAAAGGCTAGCTTTTAATGTTGCTCTATCCCCCCAGGAAATGCTCATTAGAACAGCGGGAATGGGTACAAGCAGAAAATTCACAAAGAAGTTCAGGCAGCTGATCAACACAGAAAGATGACGCCAGCCCTCTTGGCTATAAAATGCAAATTCCGTCACTTTCACAAACAAAAAAGAAGTCATGAAAGTGAAACGGAGCAGGGCCCTGTGGTCCTTCCTCCCGACGTCCTCCGCCTACCTTTTGTCTGTAGACAAATTTCAGCCAAAGAATAAGTTTAATCAGAGAAGGGAGAATGCAGAAACAAAGGAAAACAGCCCAATAAGACTAAATAATAATAGTTTAGTCATTAAGCAAAGTCAAGGACCTTTAGTTGCTTCTCGAGGGCTCTAGATAATATTCTGAGCCCTATCCTGTGAGCTGTCTTGCAGATAACTGAAACCTCCACCAGGTGGAAGAAGTTAACTACACGATGACCAGAATGTAGCCATGACATAAGTTGCCACAATTCCAATAATTGGCCTTAAGGAAATGGGAACAAACCGACCCTGGAAATGAAGACTTGAACTGTACTTGGAACAATCAAGATGATGCTGGTCAGACCACCGCTGACCAATTTCAAAATGACTGTTTCTGCATGTAGTCCCCTCCCCCCATGTATAAAAGCTCTTGCCCACGGATTATGGGGGGGCGGAGGGTCGGCCTTTGGTCAGAAGTCCGCCCTCTGCCCCCACCCCCGCCATCCCCCACCCACGTCGCCGGCATCTGAAAATAAAGCAACCTTTCCTTTCCAACGACCTTGCCTCTTTATTGGCTTTTGAACAGTGAACAGCCAGACCCCACTTTCAGTTATGAAAGTACTGATGTACAGTTATGTACAGTTAAGTACAGTTATGAAAGTATGATACATTCATAAAAATTCATCTGGGTGCAGTGCAGACTTTTTAAGTATGTTAGAAAAAAACGAAGAAGACATAAAAGAGAATGTTGCTATGTTTCACATATAAATAATGTCTGCATTAAAAATACCTTCCAAGTTAAAGGCACACACAGACACACACGCAGCAAGACAGAAAAAAGAAAGTTTTGCAAGGCCCAAAATAGACAAAACTGTTCTAAGATATATAACTCAGAAGTTAAGTCATTAAGAAGTGACTAACACTTTCTAGAAAATGAAATGAATATGAAGCCGGGTTCTTAAAAGATACACGATCGAATGTGAAACGCGATATTCTCTCTGTTCTGAATAAGACAACTAAAAATTAAAAGCACACAGAATACACCTTTTCTTTTGCACCTATCGTAATTTGGTCAATGATCAGAGTGTTGGTCGAATCTGAAGATTCGCGGTGTTGCAAGCGTGTAGGTGAAAAGCATCCCTAATACCCGGATGCTGGGATTTGAAATGGATCCAGCCTTTTGAAAGGACAGTTTGGCAAATCCATCAAGATCCCCAAATGCACCTCCCCTAACGTCCATCAGTTTCACTTCAAGGATTTCATTTGGTAAGCACACTCGCACGCACGTGTCACAAATGGAGATGTACACACACAAATTCAATGTGGCACCTGTCGTGGTAACAAAGAGACAGAAAGCAATCCAAAGAGTCATTCATATTGAGGGCTTATTCCCATGCTAAGGACTCGGCAGGTATCACCTTTTGGAACCTTCACCCGAGCCCTAGGAACTGGGTGATGCCCTGATGCTCATTTTCCACCGAAAGCAGGCTCAGAGACATATCGGCTTAATCCACACAGCAAAGAACTTGAAGGCAGGAAGTGCCCGGCTTTCATTGCACATTTGCATCACTTGCCTGGGTTTTCCCACTGCTCTGGATTACTGGGCTGGGGACACTGCGGGGGCTCCATCGATCGATTGCTCTCTAGACGATGCAGTTCTGCTTGGGGTGGTTGGCTGGTGTTTAAGGAAGTATTGAAAGCAGAGCTTCCTCCACCTGCAAGCAAGATGAGGCTGCAGGGGGGGGATGTGATGGGTTCCCTTCCCCTTGCAAGGTAATTTTCCCCCTTCTTCAGGACTTCTGAGAAGCCAGGGGAGACCGGGCACAGTGCAGGGGAGGGGGTGGAGGGAGGTGGCCCCGGGGGCAGAAATCTGGGTGCAGGAAGTAAGATCGCCCCTGGGAACCAGGGGCGGCTTGAAGATGCCAACTCAGGTGTCCCTTTGCTGTGAATGTCCCCGAGTTGCCCTAGGGCTGTGCCACTTGATGGTGTCCTTGCCAGAGTGCTAGCAGGAAGGAAGGAGACCAACGCCTCTCAGTGTTCAGTTCCCCTTTAACTACATAATCTTCCCACTTCTGAACCACCAGGGAAGTCCCTGGCCAATCATCTTGATTTGCCTGATTCTGAGTCTGAATTTGGTTTATCCCAGGGTCCTCCCATGTGTGTGTGCACATCTCTTAGCCAAGACGGATGCTAGCGAAGAGGCCTATGGGTAGGTTGGCATCACTTACTATGAGGTGACGCCCCCTTCATTTGACCTTCGAGGAGCCTTTCTGTGCGTGTGTAGTCGGGAAGATCTCCTTGACTTCGAGAATGAGGCATATGTGGTCTTCTCTCTGGGCAGGGCTCAGCTTCCTCACCGGCTCCTGCTGTTAGGGAGTTTCTGTCCCCAGGGAACGAACTCTAGCTGCTCAGCCTGGGGCCCGTCTATCTCCTGCCTCAAATCCCCCCTGAGAGACGTGAACCCCAAGACATCTTTATTGGGAGGATGAAGGGTGTAGGTCTATCTTCTGTAGCTTCTTCAGGCTGGCAACGGGCTAGCACACCCTACCTAGCTGGGGTCACAGAGCTCTCACTCTGTCTCGTTAAGGGATCCAGGGTGACTTCCGCTGTTATTCTCGCATGATCTGTTCCGAGGAGTGGCTGGAACCTCTGCGTCACCTTCATCTCGTCTGGGAAACCGCTGTGTCTTTAGAAAGAACAAAATAGACAAGCGATTAAGATGGCAGGGGCCAAAGATCAGTAAAAGAATTACTGTAGCC